AAAAAATCAAAAAACGCCATTTGCAACCATTTTTAACTTTTTTAAAATTTCGACATTTTTTGAAAAATTTCAATTTTTTCGAAAATTTTCGAAAAAGCAAAAAACCTGGGAAATCGTCCTAAAAGCGCACAAACCCAAAAAATTGAATAATTTCACATTCAATTTTTTTTCAAAATTTTCAAAAAAATTTGGTTTTGTGTGCTTTTCAGACAATTTCCAGCATTTTTTGATTTTTCGAAAATTTTGAAAATTTTCTAAACTCTCACCAAGAGATACGTGCCAAACTCGGTGAATGCCTCTGCCGGACTCGCCCTCTGTCTCACCCGGTTGCTGCCTGCCTCGGTGTCTGCACCTACTGGCCCGTGTAGGTCTCGGTCTCTGCCTTACGTTTGGTCCGCCTCACCTGTGCTTCTCAGACACGGCACGTCAGAACCTTGTCATACAGAGACGAGTCAGGCAGAGACCGCATTCAAAATTTTCAAAAAACCAAAAATTACTGGAAATTATCCAAAAAGCGCACAAAATCAAAAAAAAATTGAAAAATTTCACATTTTTTTTTCTCCCCAAAATTAAAACTTGATGGGTGGTTTTTGCGACTTTCCTTCGTACCTCAAAGCAATAATGATCCTATTATTGAATAACCCGCAGACACTGACAAATTAGTAGATGTCTGAACAACCTAGAATATTAAGTTTAGAATGAAATAAAGGGGTATTGAAATTAATTAAAGAGCCATGATTATTTATTTATTTAGAATGTTTTTTTAATTTGATTATGGTAAGAACACATATTCCCTTACGCTCATTTTTATTATTTTCAGAAACTGGTCAATTCTGGGTCGGTGTAATAGACGACGGAATACCACGGCCATCTTGTAAAAAATCAGTCAAAAGGACTCACCTATCTCCAAAGTGCCTCAAGATCGATAAGGGTTGTCCGCAGATGGTGATCTCCACCGCCAGAAATGCATCGGTCCTCAACTCTGCATGCAACAGTCAAGCTGGCTATATCTGTCACCTAGGTTTGTACTGCTGGACTCTTCCATCGAAACTGTGGCATTATTAAACAACTTGTCAGTAACCGAATAATTTATTAATGACGTAACAAGTTGAAGTGCAAATTTGCTACTGGTTGAGATTTCATGTGCGGACGGCGGCGAGTAAGAAGATGGCTGTCCTCTGGGTTTAGAATCATGCAGTTTGATATAAATAAATTTCTATTAGACTGCACGGCACAACAATCCTGAAGACAGAAATCTTTTTACTAATAGGTGTTGCTGATTATTTTACAATTATTTATAGAACACTGATACCAGTGAACAGATTCCTAGCTGAAGGTCCCAATAAATGATTTGCTGTTCGGGCGTACTCCAGACAGGTAGAGCAAAGAACATGAGCTCAGAGCTTCTCAAGACTGATGCCATGTTGCAGCTCATAAATCTTAAGGTCGTCGATCTATCATCGCCGTGTGATAGATATCTGCATGTCTAGCAGGAGAAGCGTGAGGCTTCAGTTCCTACCAACTCGAACGTGACAAATACCAGTTTGGTAAACGTGAAACATGTTTCGTTGTGTTTCAGGTCCGATGATAGTGGTTCCGGGTTTCTGCCAGTTGCAAGGTCTTCTCGTCAGCTTCTTGTCACCTCTCGTTCTGTGCTACCTCACACTAATCAGCATCGAAAGGTATGGACCCTTCTAATTTCACTGAAGCATAAACCATGGCAGGAAGGGTACGTGTGCCACGTGTTGATGAAGCGAAAAATATCAGACGACCGTACGGCCGGAAAAATTCAATATTACTGTTGGTTCCGTCGGTTTGTGTGTGAACGGGTTCGTGTGAAGTGAAGTAGTCAGCGTTGCCTTTAAGTAGATCATCTGTATAAAGTAAGACTTTGGCAGAAAAGAGGTCTCTTGCTTCCAACCAGTGCTAAAAGCTCGACATACTTTGGTTTTAACACAAAAGAAAGCCATGGATGGCTGTGTTCTGGGTTGAAATCTACCGACGTTTCAAAGATCCTTGCTGCCCCCATCATCAGGGCTATTGATCGGTATATTTCTACCAGAGTACACGGCGCAACAACTTAGAAGACAGCCATCTTGAAATAAGATTTGACTGCAAAGTTTCAGATTTAAAACCTCTTACAGTGAAACCATCGAGGAGACCGAAACATGGTTTAGTAGAATGGATGGTAATGGGGAAAAGATGATTAAAACTTTGAGTCGCACTGTACTGACGCGGGTCTGCCCTGATAACTGTCGAACGTTTGGAATCAGACTTTAATGCGCACCACTCAGTCCACGTGTTAGTTAATATAATTCCCTGACATCTGTTTAAAATGAATTTTGTCAGCTTTCAGTGTTTATTTCCGTATCACACACGTGTCTGTTAAATTCATCTGGAGAGAGAAATGTTAAAGACCAAGGGAAAAAGAGTAAAACAGAACAGATTCTTTGTCGTGTTTCATGCAATTACAAGTTTCAAAGGAACCGTGAACTACAGCAACCCATTTGTGCTGTTCGCTTCCTTGTTAAAATCAGCAGTTCGATATAATGTGTCGAGGGGTTTCTGCATATTATATTTAAGATCCTCATTTTGTCTCCTTAATTTTGTACAATACTGTGATGTCTAATGACCCCTCCTTTATCATCGCAACAAACAATATTTTTATATTACTAGAAGGAAACGTTTGTCGAAAATTGTAGTACCGGTATCTAGCTAACAATAAGTAACCCTACATTTTGCCAACATAGTGTATTTGTGGGTTTCTTAAGATTATCAAAATAAACAGCGATCATTTCCCTAAACAGCTTTAAGTAGCTGATCTTTGTTTTCTTTGCGGTACGGACCGATTCTTAATTATTATTCAGATGAGCTTCGGCTACCATCACGCCTACATAATGACAACATGTAACATTAATAATTTCAATAAATGTAGAATTTTTTTTTTTGAAAATAAAATACGCCATTTATTGAAGTCATGTGCGAAGTGTAACCAAAATAATTATACTGTGTATAAATTCTGTATTCTGTAAAGAAACTGGGGCTATAAGAACTACCTTCTATACTGAAAAGTCGCCTCTTACTGAATGGTTTCTTAAAATGTAGGCAAGATCACTGACATTAACGTGCTGTTACCATCTCAGAGCACAGGCCACTTCTCCTATTGGATGTCACGTTTCCTTCCCACTTTTACAAAGGCAACCCCGAGGGATTCTTATAACGAGCTCGTTATGGTTCTCCTCGAAGGAAACTTCGGTGAGACGAACGCATTAACGGAGTTCCAGACTTGCACTGAAATGTGCAATTCATATTGAAGCACGAAAAAGACGAACATTTCAACAGTACGGAAATTTTGATACACCAGCACACAATTTGATCCATATATATATATATATATATACACGCGGGTGCACACAACTTTCTCACACCGAACAAATTAATAGTATCTGAGTTTTGTATCTGAACAACTGCAAACCAATTAATGAAGGATGAAACTTGTCTTGAAGTCCTTTTTAATTAGGTTCAGTGACCGGCATAAAAGAACAAACGAACATTTAATGAAGCACTTGCGTGTTTCCTTGGCGACTGCGGTTTTCAAGGTCAAGGACCTTACAGGGCCTACCTGCTTGTGTAGGCAATCGACTTACGACTGTACAAAAATGATTAACAATAAACAAAGTATAAAGTATCTTAGAAGTGGCTGAGCTTTAAGAGGCACAACGAATTAAGTCATTTATAATTTTTCAATTATTCGTCAGATTCTCGTTCAGCGACGCCTACGTCAGAGGGGCGTCCGAGTGCCTGAGCAAAAGAAACTACTATGAATGTCGACTCCGCTTGGTCAATATCACGGAAGGCAATGTTCCACTGTATTTACACAACGCTGTGTTAGGGCGAGGTCTATCGTCACTGTCCTGGATCTGGTGACGGGATAATCTGCGTAGGCTTAAAGCCTCAGAAGGTCTATGATTGCGAATTATGACTTGAGTAGAACGTGGAAGGAAGTGGTAGTGGCAAATTTCATGCAGTAAAATGCCATCTACCTGCAAGCATGAGGAAAACTGAACACCTCGCAACAGCCGATATATATGGGCCGAGCATCGAACTCGAGGACTGCTACGTGCTCAGCCGCGAAGTTCTTCCTATGAAACAAAATATCCTTATTTACTGATTCGTAGACCTTGCAGCTACCAGCAAAAATTTGTTTTGGAAGTGTGTAAAGAAACAGCGGAGGAAGGAAGGAGATGGAGTTACGAAGTTCAAACAATAGGAAACCCACGCGAAGAAAAAACTACTGAAGACAAAGAACCACATGGATTATGGGTTTATCAAAACAGAACGAGGCAATATTTTGATATCAGATGGATGGATGAGCTAACAGGCAAACAGAGAAACACAGATACAGAGGATTTTAATACATTCCAAACGTCATCCAGTAGCACTTACGGGAATAAACAAGAAAACCCACGAAATACAGGAAGGAAATACGCTGTCTGAAATATATGGGCGGAATTGTGAGAATGCGTTGAAAGTAGTCCCAGAGAAAACTCCTCACCCAAATTCAACGGCTGAAGAACAAAGGAAAAAGACCATCGTTTTCATAGGCGGTTTCCATAGTAACTCAGAATATAGGCCAACGTGCTGCGAAGTTTGTATTGCGATCAATTCAAAAGGGTGGGGGGGGGAAAGCTATCACGACATTCGCCTGAGGAAAACCGCGATAAACCTCGGTCAAGTTAGTCCGCGGATCATTCGAGTTTTGAACAGAGCAGATGCCCCGTTTGCAGTGCGTCAGATTTACTCGCGAAACCCGGACCTTCAGTCCTTTCCACCTCCTCCCCCCACCGCCCATGCAGACACGATCCACCATTCACTTGTATCCATCAGGCTGCGCTGTAGGCTTAGACCCTCCGGAACAGTCACAAACAAATCAGCTTCGTTCAGGATAAGACGCGTGGTGCATAGAAGGATTTGTTTCTTGGCATAAGTATCGAGAACTGGAATAAACGCCTCACTAAAGTCCGTTTAGAAGCGCTCCGAAGTTCACTATATCTCTTACCGCACACCCTACCGGGACGCAGTTTGGCTGTTCGCAGAGACAGGCGTCTGAACTAACCAAAGCTCGAAAGACTGAGAACTGGTACCACCCCTGTAGTGACTGAATACAACCCATCACAATATCATAAATATGTCCCGACAATCAATTTACTTCTTAAATAAGACACAATTACACATATCACATGAATTCATATTTAATAACGTCTCTGAATCTTACCCACAAAATGTACTCGTAAGTTTCGTAAGATTCTCACAGCGTTAACCGACTGATCACGTTTTCTTCGCGGTACGGACTGGATCGTTTAGTTAGACCAGGCACATGGACTGAGTGTCGACTTGAGGTCCGCTTAAAAAAAGAGACCTGACTGTAGCGGAGACCATGGCATGGGTGGGAAATGATGCTGTATCAGTCGAAAATGTCTAACGTGACTATCACGTAAGTTGAAGCTTAAAAAAATTAGCAAGAAATTTCAAGGTATTATCCAAGGACAGAGCTCAGCTAGAACAGAATGCACTTACTGAGCGGAAACCCGAAGAGTTATCGCTTAAAGTAAGCTTATTATCAGCGGGTGTTGGGAGTGGATCGTATGGTGCACCAGCGATATGAACTGGAAGGAATCCGTACTTTCCGCTTAAGCAACCAAATAAGTAAAGTTGGAATCAAGACGTCGAAAATCACCATCACTGGTTCTGTAAATGAAAGAGGCCTGAGGAAAACCGCGATAAACCTCGGTCAAGTTAGTCCGCGGATCATTCGAGTTTTGAACAGAGCAGATGCCCCGTTTGCAGTGCGTCAGATTTACTCGCGAAACCCGGACCTTCAGTCCTTTCCACCTCCTCCCCCCACCGCCCATGCAGACACGATCCACCATTCACTTGTATCCATCAGGCTGCGCTGTAGGCTTAGACCCTCCGGAACAGTCACAAACAAATCAGCTTCGTTCAGGATAAGACGCGTGGTGCATAGAAGGATTTGTTTCTTGGCATAAGTATCGAGAACTGGAATAAACGCCTCACTAAAGTCCGTTTAGAAGCGCTCCGAAGTTCACTATATCTCTTACCGCACACCCTACCGGGACGCAGTTTGGCTGTTCGCAGAGACAGGCGTCTGAACTAACCAAAGCTCGAAAGACTGAGAACTGGTACCACCCCTGTAGTGACTGAATACAACCCATCACAATATCATAAATATGTCCCGACAATCAATTTACTTCTTAAATAAGACACAATTACACATATCACATGAATTCATATTTAATAACGTCTCTGAATCTTACCCACAAAATGTACTCGTAAGTTTCGTAAGATTCTCACAGCGTTAACCGACTGATCACGTTTTCTTCGCGGTACGGACTGGATCGTTTAGTTAGACCAGGCACATGGACTGAGTGTCGACTTGAGGTCCGCTTAAAAAAAGAGACCTGACTGTAGCGGAGACCATGGCATGGGTGGGAAATGATGCTGTATCAGTCGAAAATGTCTAACGTGACTATCACGTAAGTTGAAGCTTAAAAAAATTAGCAAGAAATTTCAAGGTATTATCCAAGGACAGAGCTCAGCTAGAACAGAATGCACTTACTGAGCGGAAACCCGAAGAGTTATCGCTTAAAGTAAGCTTATTATC